TTCAGTCAAACTATAAAGATTACATAAATATTAATAAAACCAGATCTTTCACGTCAGAACGAATGTTTTAAGTCATTAAATATATTTATAAACACAGCAAATTTTAGTTAACTCCATTCATGCTTTGCATTTTTGATTCAAAACTTGCTTTCAATTTGTAATAAATCAGAAGAATTTCATAAATATTTCATATTCTTAAGAGAGTAATAAATTCAATAATATTTTATAGGCTTCAATAACTTTTTGTGTGTTTTGCATGGAATAGTTCCCCTTGCCAATCTAATAATTTATTTACCATCCCTTTAATCAGATTACAAAAATTAATCCTGTTTTCTCGATTTCAAAATTATTTATCTAGAGGTTTGCATTTCGTTTCATATATCTTTTATAATAACTTTCCCTATGTTTAAAATTCTCCCTAAGTAAATTTGTATATTTATTTTTGTTTTATTCACCGAAATAAAATTAGATAGAAACTTTTCTACTGCTATACAAAGTATAATATATTAAAATCAATGGAGTGCTGAATATTAGCTAACCAGACAAGTCTTCATAAGACAAAATTTTTATAGTAAAGAATTTTAGCAATTCTTTACTTGCATGTGATTTAGTACAACTATTAGAATTTTGATTGATTATCAGCATTAATTGCTTTAATTTAATCATTAAAGCTTAATGAAAGTTCTTATTTATCAGTTTATTTTACTTATTAGCTAAATTTAGATTTTAACCGCGACATGATAAAAAAATAAGTAAAAAAACATCACAATGTTAAAGACCAGTTGCTACGACATTCTTATACAGAGCAAACACAAAACTAGTTTTCTGATATATGTCACTGCATTAAGATATTTTTTTTCTAGAAAAGAACTGTGTTTTACTTTACTCTTAAAGGAATATTTTAAATTGCCTACTTCCATAATTTTAACTTCATTTCTTTAAAATATACAAGTTGATCCATAAAGAAAAGCACTTATTTCTGGAATTTTCATCAAAAGTGATATCAAAGAGAAACACTCATTGGGGATCAGAAATGATTTTTTTTTTTTAAAATGTGAATATCACAAATCGAGGTACAGAAAGTGAATGTAATTCAGGTATGAACTGGAAGGTGTTCTGATTGTCAAATACTCGTTGTTTCCCCCCGTAATCAAACCAGTCATGTTGTTCATTACATTGACTTTTCTATTCTGTGTCAGATTTTGACAGCATTTCTTTTATTAAAAGCTTTTTTCTATTAAAGTCACATTTTGACAGCTAAAAATACATATTTCAAGCGACTTCTCCGAAGTACAATATATTGTCGTCAAAAGAACTTATGATGACTAAACTTTTTTTTGCATGATGCTGAAAAAATAAATCCATAATACACGCTTAATTTATAAAGTACCATAAAATAAGGTAGTAAAGACGTTTAATGATCGGCTAATTTGTCTTTACTTACCTTAAAAAATGTTTTCTTTTCACTAGTAAGTATATTTTGATGTCATCAATATTGCATTTGAAAGAGGAGATTATGTTATTTAACAAAAATCACGTTTTTATTTCAAATGTTAAGATATTTATTTTTTGTAAGCATTTTAGAATGTATCAGCATTTGTTTACAATTATCGGTATATTCATCTGAAATTCTAATTATTTAATGAAAAGGTTTTTCTCAGATATAAAGGGTGATCAGCGAAGACCACTCTTACTATGCAATTTAAAATCCTTATGAAAAGGAGAAAAAAAAGATTTATGTATATTAAGGTTCGTAAATTCATGCTTATAGTAGGGGAAAATAAAATGCTAGCAGAAGGCGCATGTAATGTATAACAAAACAGGTTTATTTGGAGGTTGAAACTTGAAGATTTCCTAAAAATAATCTTTTAAATCCTCTATGTTTCGTCTCTCTTAAAAAATCTTAGTTGCTGTTTATTGCATTCCCCTTCTTGTACTAAAATTTGTCAAATTTTTATAACGCTCTTATTTTTATCTCGGTAAAATATACATTTGCGATTCTTAAATCCTTATAATTTTTGTTTTCCTTTTTCCTAAGCATAGAAAAAAGACGTATTAAAGGTTGTATTTTTGAGTTACCCTTTTTAAGTAATTTAAATTTTAATTAAACTAGATAAAAATATATTTTTCAATGTAATTATACTTTAATTTCTTTAAACTTTTCATTTTTCTGAAATGTAATGCTTTTATTTTCATATATCATGAAGCAAACGACTTCACACATGTTAATAACATGTCAATTTAAATTTATGCTAATTACTGGTGAATTTTTCATGTAATTGTATTTTTAGCGTACTGAAAGTTATATTATTCTTAACCTATTAAAGACAAACATTTCATTCTAAAATAATCATCAAAATCACCTGAACAGTTTTTCTAAAAAATCAACTCTTATTTAATACAATTAGCATGTATTTCATTTTTAAATCTAGAACTGAATGTATTGAAATGTAATTAATAACGAAAACATTGCATTTTTTTATATTTAAAAAGAAGAGGATTTTTCTCAGTCGATGACATTTTACTAATTTTAAGCAACATGCAAAATCCTTAGAGGAACAAGAAATTAAGTAAAGAAATACATAAAATACTCACAAGCAAAAGCATAAGATCGAAATAAGTAGCATTTAATTTGAATATTATGAAAGACTACAAATAATTGAATTTTTGTGCAATTGCTGCCAGAAATATTTTCCGAAATTTCTGCAAAAAATTACACCTAAAAAATATTGGAAGGTTTAATTGAACAATCCCTTTTACAGCAGCATTACGATATATGTTCCTTTTAATGTATAAAAAGAAAAAAATAATTTGCAAAATCACCATACCTGTATCGTAAAGTCATTTGTGGTGAAAAAATACTGTATTGCTATTCCAGTAACCATTCTGAAGCATACATGTAGTGGGTTTTAATCCAGCTTACCATTCGATGCTTATTCTTGCTGTCTTTCGTAAAATTGTGCTATCTGTTTTTCAAACTGAATGCCGTTCTTTGTATTTACAAAAAAGCCCACATATGCACGGAAAAGCAAATAAATCCACTACCATATAAAATATGGATGAAACTGTCACCACAGTTTGATACATCTAAAATTAGTAACTTTAAAACACTTTAATTAAACATTTGAAGTCATTATTCTTGTCCTTTTCCTTGGTTTCACTGAGAATGTCCTGACCATACAGGTATGATGATTTTGTCAGAAATTTTATTCTCCGCTTATAAACATCTCACTGATGTATCCTTAATTCGTATATAAGGTAAAGTTAAAGGAACAAGGCTGTTATATTCTTCTGCCAGAGCTTTCCATGAACTTGAATTAACATACGATCAAAATTTCGGTTTTCAAACTTTACAAAGTATACTAAACAAACTATGGATATCTTTTGCTGTCAGAAACTGAAAAATTGTGAAGGTGATCTAATGAAGATGCCGGCTTCAACGTTTTTTTCCTTTTGGATAAGTTCGTAAGATATCTTTGCCTCGGTAGCGGTGTGGGAAAAGGTTTTGCTTAATTCTACTGGTAGAGAGCCGGTGATTGCGTGTTCGATCCTGGGAATCGAATAAATAACCGGCGTGTATTCGCAGTAAGGTTCACGTTATCTCTGCCGTGGCTAAAAGTAATATCGTTTGTTGTGGTGTGAAAGTATGGAGAAAGGGATAAAGCTAAGACACTGTCCACGTCATTCAAAATGTACAAAATTAAGTGACATTCCTTTAATAGCTGTTAAGAGATAGAGCCTTGAGAAATCGGCTAGGTGCTTAGACGTAGAGGGGTGTGTTTAAAATATCTATAACAATAATCGGAGTATACTTATTGCTCTTCTAGATCTCTTCTGTATTGTTATATGAAAGTTGCCCAGTGTGTCCTATCGGAAACTTCGGGAATACTTTTTAACTAGTTTCTTCTCAATTACTCTTATTTTCTTTCTTTAAAAGTGCTAATTATTCTAGACAAAAATATTTGCGTTTTTTTTTTAAAAAAAAAAGCCAGGGATTTAATTATAATTATTCCTGAAACAAAGTCTTATATAAAAAAAGTTTGCTTGCACATTTTTTACGTCATACTGGAGCAGCACATTGGGCTATTGGCGACTGCCTGGGAAACATCGCTGAGGATGATTAGGATACAACATGCGTACATTACATCCCATTTTGCAAGTAAGACACATTCTTACACCATCCACAGACTGTAATTCTTACCTGAACCAGAGCACGATCAATCTCCGATTCAGTACCCCCAGAGGTATTGATTTGTTATGGGAACATTGGAGGACTTTGTGATCCCGACAGATTTAGTGTACATCAGTCATCATTTTGTGTACGGGGAGCCTTCAGCCGACAGGGATCAAACTCACAATCTCTCGAGCATAGATCCAACTCCCTACCAGATAGGCTATCCAGGCCCTATATAAAAGAAGCACTGTTTCGAAAGTATCCAATCAAACATCTCAGATGTAACAAAAGTTTCGAAAGTTAAGTTTCGTAAAAGAAATTAGCAAACCTAGTTAAGCATTTTCAGAAAAACATTAAAGAAACTAATAACTGTCATTGCATTTTAGTTTTTTTTAAATTGTTTATATTTTTCAGTCAATTTACTTTAATATTGTATCGAAAGTTACAAAATGCCCCGTTATAATGGGACAAACATTAATTCATAAACCCTAATAAACATACACCAGTTTAAATAGTGTGACGTTATTGCCAAAGTAATAAAATATTTCTCTTTTAAACAAATAGCTCTGGATAAGTTAGTATGACAGTTATTAAAGTTCCCCGCTACAACTTCTTTGTCTCTTAACTACCAAGCGGTGCTTTGACAAGAAAAGAATTTATGGGAGATACAGAAATTAATTCTTGAAGAGAAAACATTTGCCCCTTTTGTTCCTTCAATCAAACACATATCAAGAAGACCGTGAAAACAAACCATTAATTGCTACTCATCGTCCCTTAGAAGCGGCGCAACAAGCGCATGCGCAATTTTCTACCCGCGTGTTTTCCGGATTAGGGAGTAAGGCAGACGAGAATGTGCGATCCGGGAGATTAGGACGTGTCCGGGCGATGCTAGACTATTCGACGGTGCCGGCGCACTTAACCGGACTTTCCGGGCTAATGGATTAAGCGAAACTTTTAGAAGTTTGCGGATTATTGAAAAAAAAAGAAGAAAATGATGAAGAATTTTGCTTTGTATCTTCTGTTTTTCTTAGCTTTGCTCAAAGGTAAGAATTTTATTTGAATAACAAAATATCGCGTGGTAAGTTTTAGTTCGAAAAGAAAAATGCGGAACAGTGAATAAAAAAATTCAAAAACGAATTTTTTATATGATTGGGTTAAATTCTTTGGACTCAAATGAAAGAGGAAAAATAACATGGACATTGGTCATAAAATACTGTTAAGTTTTTTGGGAGTTATTCCTAAAAGACAAACGCGTGAAGTGACGCAAAACGTTAGAGGCGTTTATTCTTATTATCGAGAAACAAGTCTCTATGACCGAAAAAAAAATTATAGTTATTTTTGAAAAAAGAAAAACCTGAAAAGGGAAATTTTGAAATATTTAAAATAATCTTTTAAAACAATCTCAGTGGATTTTTAATTAATTTAACTCGTTAATTCAAATTAATTTCGCACTTATTAAAATGAAATTTAATTTTCTTTAAAAGAACACTAATTTTGTTTTTGCGATGCTAACTTTTAATTTCCATGATCTTTATAAAATTTATCACAATTGATAAAAGTTGATATATAAATTAAGATCATATTTGATCTATTTAAAACCATACAAATTAATATAAATTCTTCGTGCAAGTTAAGATTTGGGAAAATTAAGGACGTATTTGATTGATTTGTTTTAAGATCGTATTTTTAAGTAGTAAAGTTTAAAAATTTGAAGTTACACAGCTTACTTCTTCAAAACTACTTCAAAGAATAAACAATCTATATAAGTCATTAGTTTTAAATTTATTCTTTAAAATAGTAATATTATAAAATTTATATAAGTATTTTTTTGTCATAAAAATTATAATAATGGATTATTAAGTATTTAAAATTTGTGTCTCTCTCTTAATACTTGAAGGTAAATATTTAAGAAACTATTCATATTTTAGAAAATTTTTTAAATATTTAGTATTTTGGGCCATCCTAATTCTGATGTTTTAATTCAACCTTAATTCAATTTCTTCATTATTTTATTTTTGTTGAAAATTCTAATTTACTTGTGATGTGTCATTTAGATCTTTAATTTTTTTTGTGTTTCATCTGCCTTATTATTGAATTTAAGTTAATAAAACTTAGTAAATTTGGGTTCGAAAAGAAATTTTAACAATTATCTAGAAAAAAATGGAATTGTGCAGGGTGCGTAAAAATATGTTGTTAAAAGTTAAACGTTTACATATAATGTGTGAAAAAAATTTAAAAAAATTTTACCCCAATCATATCATTTTTCAATTTTTCTTAAATAAGTTATTGATTCTTTTGTTCTACAAATATAAGTGATTTGGAAAATATGAATTATGACTCGGCGAATAAAATTTTTAAATTCAAGTTTCAGCTATTGACTACAGGTTTGTATAGACTCTAGTAAGCAAGGTTCAAGCATGTTTTACACTGGAGTCATTAGAAGGTAGAATTAATGTTATTTAGAAAAAAAATAGTTTTGCAGTAAACTAAACCTTATATAAAATATTTTTCAGTTATTCTTATATTATATTGTAATTAATGGCGTTCCGTAAATAATTTAAAAAACGTCATGCAATGAAAATATAAGTTTTTTATTTAAATGAGTTTTTTTATTGTATAATTTTATTTAACTTACTAATGTTTAGCTTTTTGCTCATAATACGTTATTACTATGAAACATTTGAGCTACCATAGTTTTATGATTGCTTCGCTTGATTAAAACACGAAGGAATTCGTTTTACGTTGCTAAAAACGCTGAAGGAGCATGGCTTAAATTTATTCGAAAGAATTGAAGATTAAATTCAAAATGGAAATGTGGGTATTTGCGACTGATTGTACAAAGTAACATACTTTATTTAAGCAAACTTACCGCTGGAGAAATAGCACTCACCGTACGATGGCGCTGAGAAAGGCTAAGGTAAATCCAGGTGACTGTTCCCATTGCCATATACATCCCTATTGTTGAAAGAAGCTTTGCAAATAAGTTATTCAGATTTTTCATTTTAAATTAAAAGAGAATTTTTAATACATACTTTTAAACATTTTTTAATTAAAAAGAGGACGAGGAGTATTGTTTTAATATTATTAGTTGATTATGTGATTGCATAGAACTAACCTTTTAGTTGCAGCTAGTCAGGTGAAAAAATTTTCCTCCTGTTACTGTGCTTTTTTGCAGAAATTCATCCCCCACTTAGACGGGGGAGGTAACTATTTTAACCAGCTATGAATAGGAAACGTTTTGTTGTAGTTCTCGTCACAAATTGTAATTCTTGTCACTAATGTCACACTTGTCACAAATTGTAATTCTTGTCACTAATATCACAATTCTTGGAGACAAAAGTAGCAGGGTTGTAGTGTGGATCGTTAATGGCAGATATTTTGGCTTGCTTTGGCATTTTTTATTTGTGATGTTTAAGACATTGTGAGGAAAATTCAAAATTTAACTTTTAATTAATTTGATTTAATAAAGTGATATTTTCTCTAATGCAAAACAAGCATTCATTTAAAAATTATTAAAACATTTCACCAATTTGAAATAAAACGGGCATTTTATTGTTTCTGAAAGATTGTACAAAACTGTTAGGAACGAAACTTTTTTAATTTTTTCCAATAAATGGAACATTGTTTGAAGTTTTATTCTTATCTTAAGATCATAAACACATCAATTATTATGGATAATTTTGAAAAGCAAATTACTAAAATTTGTAACGAATACACTAAAAGAATTGAGATCGGCGGGCAGATTTTTTGTTGCAATTTTCCGGCCTCTGCATCAAGTTCCCATACCACTCTACTGTGAATGGAATTTTCCATTTCTGAAATCGCTAGGACTCGGGTTTATGTAACGTTTAGTTCCTAAAAGTATCTATATCATGAGTGTAATATAGACATAAATACTAGAGTGTAAACTATTGGGTTAAAATATGGCACCGTTTTGCAGCTGAACGTGTCAGGTTATGAAAAAGATGTTGTAAAAGTTTAATTGCAAAACATTTTGAAAAAACTGAAAATTTGTAAATAGAATCTAATTACAAATATTTAATATTATTGAAAAACGTGGCTCATATTTAAATGATTTCTTAGACAATTTAAGAATAATTTTGAAAAATATGTTAAAAGTTGCTTGCAGTCTGTAGTCATTGAACATATTTTAACTCGTTCAAATTAGTTCACATTGTTTTATAGAGAGCTCAAAAAATTTAATCTTTTCCTTTTCAGAAAATGTAAGCAACCTTTAAAATTCTCCAGTATTGTTGCTTAACAAGGCTTCAAATGCCTGACTTTGCTTTGTAACTTATATCTTTCCATCTATCTTTAAAAATACAGTCACACTAAATATCAACTAGTTACAAAACCTTTAAGTAAAACTAAACTAATAAATTTGTCTGACTTATTTTTTACCTTGCATTTACATTGCATAAAATAATTTTCATAAAATAATACATGATTTATTTGATCTAGAGTAAGAACTGCTTTGTAGTAAATGTACTACAGTACGTACATCTGCGTATCTATATTTTTTTCAAACGGTGTTCATAAAAACCAACAGAACTTCTTATTGATTTGATAAAGAAGAACTTTCTTTATGCAAGATTTTTGTTAATTTTATTTTAGAGTTTGTATTTTTGTCAGTTTAGTTATCATTTTTCCCGTTATAAAAATTTTCATTTATGTGCTCCTTTAAAAATATTTCCACGACTTTGAATTGTAATAAGTGACTAATTATTTCAGTGTAACGAGATTTTATGCAGTGTATTTGAAAAATATAAACAAGCCACACTTAAGCGAAAAATATATGCCTTAGTGATTAATTTAAGTCCCTTCAAGTGAAATCTATCAGATGTTTCTTCAAAGCAGAAGATTTGTATCCAGAGAATATCTTCAAATGATTACTTACGGAAATGAGAGAATCATTAAAATACTATGCTGTATTTTACCTGTTAGTCTCACAATTTCATAAAATCATTGAGCTCTTCCTTTTTTGCAGTAAGAAATATTATTATATAGCGTAGTTAATATTTTGTAGCTGATTCATTTTTGTCTCTGTCGAATTCAAACCAAGATATAATCAAAGAGTAGCGAAAAATTAGCTAAAGAATCAAGGCAAAGACTGCTTAGCTATTAAATAACACAAAGAAAAACTATTTGTTATGCAATAAAAGCTGTTAATTTTTAGACTGCTTACCTGGGCATTCTTTCTTCGTAGACATTAATACGGTGAGGACGTGAAGCGCATGAAAAACGTATTTCTGCTTATGCCTTACTTTCACCCTTGCGGCGCTCTCTTATTAAACGCAAGGCACACCTTCCTGACTTAACCCCTTCCTTCTCGCTGTCGTGAAAATGGCTGGGTGAGATTTCTCCCGCTATTTCTCGCTCCCGTGATATTGAATGGCTGGAGTGTTCAGTAGTAACGCGCCAATAAGAATAAAACTAATTTATTTCTTTTGCCGGGAAAACATTTTATTTCTCATTTTACACACCTGATGGCAGTGCCAGGATATTTTTTAAGGCAATTGCAGATAGTTAGTTTATTTTAAACTAGTTGCAACACTAATCAAATACGTAATACAGATGCAAAAGCCAAAAAAATAGGCGCTTTTATGACCGTTTTCTTGAAAATTAACCGATCGTTAAGGAGTTAATTCACAAACGCTGACGGCGGGGGCGTCCTTGACTTGTTCGTGTGTCATAATAAACAGCAGCAAAGTTTCAGCTTAGAGCTAAAGAGAATTTTGTTACAAGATTTATATAATACGAAATTAGGACGTAAAATATCATCATTGGCAGACGGATTATGGATTAGAGTCCCCTTGCCGTCAGGCTAAGCATGGTTGTTTTTTGCGATTTTCTTCTCCATGTAACACAAATGAGGGTTAGTTCCATCAAAAATTCCTGCACGAGGGCAAATTTCTCCCAGTACTTAATCCAGGAATTCCATTGTCTACTAATTGTCAAAATTACAAGGATACGGAGTTGAACGTTGGTAAATAGTCGTAAACTGAAAATTCGGTCGACTGTTCAACGACTGTTACAAAATAAA